CCACGCCAGCCCACCCGTTCAGGTAGTCGATCTCAGTGCGACCGCCCCGCACCACGTCCTGCAGCATCGAGTTGAGGTTCCCCGACGTCGCGGCCAGCACGCCCTCAACACGTCCCAGGAGCTCCTCGCTACTCCCCTGCAGCCCGTCCCCGCCGCCGTCGTTGCTGCTGCCCAGCGCTGCCTGGCACTCTGCCGCCACGGCGGCCATGAGCCCCCGCGCAGGCGCGTTCCCCAGCAGCCCGCCGTTGCGGCAGTGCAGCAAGGCCGCGAGGGGGTTGACGCAGGCATTGACCAGCAACTTCTGGAGCAGCTGCAGGGGGTTGTGGCAGCACGGTGGGCCGAGCACAGCTGTGAGCATGCGTGTGTGTATTTGTGAGGTCCAGTTGAAGGTGAGTGTCGGGCAAGCAGGGCGGCGTAATCTTGGGGCCGGCTGTCGGCTGCGCCAGCACGCGCGACTGCCAGCGCAGCCGCAGGGCTTCCCATAGCCATTACGGGCACGACCTCGCCTGCTGGTGCAGCTGCTGCGGTGACATCGACGTGCTGATGCTCAGAGCCGCCAGAGCCGGTGACGCCAGCAGCCGCAACACCTCCTCAGGGCGGCCACTATCCTGCTGGTAACGCCCGCCTGACGCACCCACGGCGGCCGCAGCGCGCGCTGGGCTGCGGTCGCTGCTGCCGCCGCTGTGCCAGGGTCGGCCAAATACAGCCGAGCCCGCGTGCCACACTACGTCAAACGGCGCGCGGCGCCACGCGCCGTGCGTCGTGCTGCCGAGCAGGAAGTGGGGCCTCGTGGCCTCGTCTCTGAACTGCGACCACAGCAGCTCCTGGTGCACGGCCAGCACCCCGTTTTGGAGCAGCACAACAACAGAGCCGGGGCCGAGGCGGTGGGCGATGGACGCCACCGCGCCGACGGTCTGGCTGGCCTGGCATTGGGGCGAGGGCGGTTGATGAGCAGGTGACTGCTGAGCTAGGCGAGAAGACCGTCGTGTGGACGCTTTATTGACATCTGCAGCCGCCTTGTTCGCTTCAACTTCTGGTAAATATGGATAAACCAAGTGAAACTTTACTGAGGCAGAGCTGTCAGCTACACAGCATACTGCTCCCCAGCAGCAGCTCACCTTGGTGGTGACCAGCAGGTTTCTGATCTGCTGCTGCCCTCCTCCCTGTGCCGCATCCACCTGCTCCGCGCCACATGCCGCCACATCATCGCCGCAGCGTACGACCCGGCCAACGCCATCGAAAGCGCGCAGCGCGTCGGCTCGCAGCAGCAGCGTGATAGGCAAGCCTGCCCGGGCGATATGGTGGGCGAACAGGCAGCCAATGCTGCCGGCACCCAGCACATGAAGCATTGGGTCCAGCAGCCTTCAGCTGAGGCGCGCTGAACCGCTGCGGGTCGTACTACGCGCCGGGGTGTACGCTGTTGACGCACGGTAGCGCACACACCGAATGCCTAGTGAGAAAAGACAATTGGTACGCCTGATGCTTATGTGTACATTATATACGTCTCGATGTTTTATACTCTGGCATGCCATTGAACCCTTTTGCTGCAGCAGAGCATTGCTTTTCCTCGCTAGTCCTCGTAGAAGTCCTCGGCGTTCTGTACAACCGTCCTGCTTGCCTTCTCTGTCCGCCATGTATCCGATGTACTCGATGCACATCCTCTCAGGTCCCACTTTGACACCAAGCACTGCAGCAGCGGCGGCACCACGCGCGCAGCGGCACACGCCGTTGCAGCACCAGCAGCCAGGGCAGCGCGCGACTGTGCGGCTTGCCTCCAGCTCTTACAGCTTTGCCAATACAGGCGACCGCCGCGAGGTCGGGGAGCGGCGGAACAGGACCGTTGAGAAGCGGGTGAGAGCCTGCCGCCCCGCTAACCTCGACACACCGCTGCTCGCAGCCGCCGCCTTGCCGTGGGGACGCGCGGGGCCCGCGCTTGGCGCGGCGCCTGCCGCATGCAGATCATGGCCCTGATTAGATCTGCACGACACCGCTTTACCCGCAGGCCAACGCTGAGCTGTCCCAGCTGGTGAAGGGCCTGGTGGCGATGCGCCCCAAGCAGCTGGCCGCGGTGGCCCACCTGCTGTCAGAGGAGCAGCTGCAGGAGATAGGCCTAGCGGCACGCCTGCCGCGCATCAACCAGGCGAGTGCATGGGCAGGGGTATGCGGCGCTGGTGTGAGATGCAGCCGGAGCAAGGGCCGGAGCAGCACAGGCAGCGCAGCCGCCACCGCTGGCTGCGATCTTTGTGTTGCGACAGGTGCTGTGCTGCAGCCGCCCTGGCTCACTGGTTATTGCTCTGGCCCTGGCGTTCGCTGTCGGCGGCGTGGGCGGCATAAAACGCGGACGGGCGCTGGCAGCCGCAGGTCGAGGGAAGCTCTGGAGGCGAACCAGCCCTGTGGCAAGCAGGCCGGCTGCCCGCAGGCGGCGGG